AAATGATTTATGAAACTGTCAAGAGGTTTGGGATCGTTTGTATTCATGCACCAGTTCCTGTATGTTGTCAGTGCATTTGTTTTTCCATGTCTATGCATACAAACGCGTGTTTGCGTTTTCCTTTAGAGTCTTCCCAAATCTGAACTTTGCCCAGCCATCCCCACTAATTGGATGTTGGTCAAAGCTCATGCTGGCAAACAGCAGCCAGAGATTAGCTGCCACTCTTCTCTTCAACCTTCACACTACATTTCATTCATGGCTCAGCCCTTCCTTTGAAAGTTGATAGTCATGTGGTAAAAAAAATTGCCTTTCAAGATCTATTGCCGTTCACAGCGAGATCATTATCACTAATTAAGTTGTAATAAAAAGAAGAAGAAATAAAGCTCCTTTACCGCCCCTCACTAATGTGATCCGATATGACTTTGCAAACTGAGGCTTTGTGAGAAAACTTTGTAAGTTCCATCTTTCATGTTTGACCTTTTTTATTAATGTTCAGGGTGAAAATAAAAGTGTGTCTTCGCTAAGAAATGATGCTGTGCCCGTTTTAAGTTGGCTGAGGCTACAGAACAAAGTGGTGGAAAAGAACATTTCATCTAAACAAGTGTTACATAACTATTGTAGGAAATCTCTTATCTGCTTAAGCGAAGAAAAATGCTCCCCAACACGACAACAGTTGAACCGACATTGAAACTTTTAAAGCTGCTGAATCTATAATGAAAATTCAAACTAAATTAAAGTCAAATTAAAGCTAAACTGCCTTTACATATTCTGCTGGATTCAAGTCAGATCACATATTTGGTGAAAGTTTTCACTTTTTTCTCTTTTAGAAACTCTTGTGTGGTTTTTGAATCATGATTATCCTCTTCTGCCAAACTGGGAGACATCTTGTCAGCTTTGGTATATCTGCATGCTTTTACAGCGCCATCTATAAATGTCATCTCTCCAGCACCTTTTGCACTCATGCAGCACTGTATTGTCACATGTCCATCGTTGAGCTTCACTGTCGAGGCCGTGGTTCAAGCTAAACATTCTGCACCGCATCTAAGCTGAACCAATTCATCTTGGTTTAATCTGACCAGAGAATATTCTTCAGGTTTCTTCTTCGTGTCTTGCCTCAGACGGTGCAGGGTTCTTTGATAACTGCAGTATTTGGAGGTCAAAGTGAAAAAAAATCCCTCATTGGGAAATTTCATGAGCAAAACTATAATAAATATAAATTGAATCAGGAAGTGGTTCTGTAAAATGTGTAGGTGTTTACAATGAAGGATTTTGAGTATAATTTACTGCTCACCTTAGTTTTTCCATAAAACACGCTTCATTCCACAAGCTGTCAGAATGCTGAACTGCTGATCTAGATATGTCAACACTTCTTTATTTAAATTGCTTTAAGTTATTGGATCCTGAAGAAACACCCTCTCATCTTGCCTGTACTACTGTGTACGTACAGCAAAATGACAATAAACTGGATTTGATTTGAAAATAAAGAAATCCTAAAACTGAATTTCAAAAGAGCAGAATCTATTAAAAGTTATGAAAATTCTGCTTAAATGATACGGTCTTCCTTTCTGCTTACCTTCCTCTTGCTCCGCTGTTATAGCACCACTAATAGATAGACGTCGTTTGTTATGGGACCGTTCATTCAGTGTGTGTCGCCCACGGCACTTAACCTCAGTCTTAATTAGGCATGCGATGTTCCGCACAATTTCTGATTCAGTATACGCCTCCCTCGGTTTTGGAGTCACAGAAATAACAACACAAAATGCCTCATTGGCCATAATTCCTTGACCTTAATTTCTCAGTTATGGCTGCACGCTGTAAATTAGACAAAGCTCTGATCTGCATGCATACAAGAACTCAAAGCTCTTGAGTACCGAACCATGAAAGTGTTATCTTGAACACACATACGTTGCAGCTCTTGTCTAAATCCAGACAAACAAAGTCTTGGTAAGTCAATATTTTTGCACCTTGTAATATCCAGTGCAAATACAAATGGAGTCTTTATTGTTTCATCCTCACTTTGTCTCCACCAGACATTTTAAATGAAGCACATTAGCTTATTGTAATATAATCTTCAATATCTCACTTGCTAATGTCCACATATTGTCTTACAAACAACATTTCAGCACTGAAGAAAGTATTCATAGTGGCTGCGCACAGATGTGTCTACTTAGCAGCGAAAGCCAAAAAAGAGCGTGAATACTCACTTAGCTTTGACTGGATAAACAAAGTTTAACAACTTAATGAAAGACAAAATATTCCAGCTAAAGTGTCAGATCTCTGCTTAATGCCCGTCTACCTTCCTGCCTGTAATGCAGTAATGACAGAGGCAGGGGTTTAACATGGTGTCAAATACAGCCTGTGTCTGCAAATAGGGCCAGTCCAACATTTTTAATCTGTCAAAACATCTTTGGCTGTCAAGAAATGTTTTCTTTATGTTAGGTGTGGTTGCTGAGAGAAGCAAAGTCTCCAGCGTGAGGCTCAAGTTGAGGAGATGAAAACACCACAGTCCACAGCCTCTTAAAAGATTTCTCACAAGTGTCTCTCTGTCCTTTGTTTTGAACTGTTGCTCTATTTTGTAGATGTTTTGACTTTGTTTTTCTTCTCTCTGTTGGCGTATATGTAACTGAATTTTCATTTATTCTCGTCCCCGACCAAAACTTACCTCTCCACGTGAGTGTTTGTATGGGTACAGGTTTATTGTGAAATGCAGCATCAAGAAATCTGCTGCAAATACTGGAAATATATTGCAAATTTTATATGACAAAAGGGACCCAAAACACCAACATCAGCCACTAGATATTGATTTTTGAGAACTCTGGTGCGTAGTATATAAAAACCTATTCCTGATAGAGTATAGATTTACAGTTCTGTGCAGAGATGGTAAAAGTCCTCACATTCTTTACTGAAGTAGAGACACTTGTGTAAAAACAGACTCTGGTAAAAGTAGAAGAACTGATTCAACTCCTTTACTCAAGTAAAAGTAAAAAAGTACAGGTTCAGAAATTCACTTCAGTAAAAAAGTAAAAATGTATTTTTAGCTTTGATGATACACGATTCCTCTTTTGATAACTCTGCAAAATGAAAAAAGTTTGAAGCATACAAAATAGGATTGTTTTCATCCTTTAAGAAGCTGCACAGAGCTGCTACAGAGAAACACATCACTGGACAGTTTCAGCAACATGATGAACATTAAACATTATGATCAACATGGAAACACTCGTCTCTTCAAGACGACTAAGATCTTTTATTGAGCCTCAGCAGAAGCTGGTTCTCAGAGTTCTCTGGATGAAGACGGGCCCTTTTGGGTCTGAACATCAGTCCTGCAGTGCTAGAAAGCCTCTGGCAGGCAGCTGAGGCAGGCAGGGCTGTGCTGAGCTTCACTGCTGGCAAAGATAAAGACGTTTGTTGTTACGTCTTTGACGTCATGTCGTCATCCGCGGAGGTTGAAACAAGAAAGGAGCCAGTTTTGAGATTGTAAGGAGCAGAAAGTCCAGATATTTGTGTTCAAATGTAGGAAGTAGAAATAAAAAGTCATCAGAAAAATGAATACTCAAGTAGATACCTGCAGAATGTACTGAAGTACAGTAACAAAGTATTTGTTCTTCTTTACTTCCCACCTCTGGTTCTGTGCCACTTGCGATGTTCCTGTAAATGCAGACTGACACATCAACATCAAACATGTTTGGCTTTGGAGTCAATTTACCTTCACGCTCACTACTTAGTTATATCGAATAAATCTGATCTGATGGTTCAAATTTAAATAGTTTTTTAGCAAAGCCAGTGTCTCATATTGTAGAAGTACCTGTCTCTCAGAGCCTTTAATGAATGGTAACACATGTTGTGTATTTAGTTGAGCAGCAGAAACTAAGACGATGTCAGTGTAATCAAGTCACAAAGATGTTCTTATGTCTAGAACGCAGTCGTGCTTGTTACAAATGCAGAAGCATAACAATAAGAAACAGGCCGTCATTAGTCCTGCAGCTGGTTTAAAACGCTGAGAAAGCGCCTGCTTCAAGCCCCATTTCTCATCTAAAACCAATTCTGATTTAATATCTATGAATGAGATTTGCACACTTCCTGGCAGTACAGTTTAATCATAATACTATGAATTTTAATCATTTTACCCCAGACTCATTTTAAATGTCCCGTCACCTGATGTGCTTTTGGTGAAGAAACTATTTTTTGGGGTGTGATTGAAACCAAGTGCGGCCGAGGCGTTGAAGTTTCTCCATCCTCCACTAACCTTTGAATGCCTCTGGAGCAGAGAAACTTCATTTCTATAGCTTAGCACCTCATTTATTTCTAAGTACCAATACCTCTGTCTAAGTGAAGGCTAAGCCGCTGGATGAACACACAAGGAACTGGCAATGAATTATAAGGAGAAAAGTGCCATTATTGTGTGTGTATCTGAGAGATGTGAGTTGCAAAGACTGTAATGTTTTTATTTTTCTTTGGATAGAGCACTTACACTTCTAGTTGTGCAGCAGGCTTACTGCTGAGCTACATACATGAACAGTAGTGACAGAGAGATCGCCAGACAACGGTTGGATGGACTAGACGCAGCTGTTCAGGTTGTTGTAAGCAGATATACAGAGATCACAAGTTAACTGGTCGTAGCGAACACCGATGCTGCTTCCCTGTAGACTTCTGTGGGATGGATATTTTACTAGGCAGTGAATGATTAGGGAGAACTGTAAAGACGTGAAATCAGTCAGCGTTAATCCCATCTACAAGGCTTTTATTGGCTCAGTTGTTTCTGCAGCTGCCAGGGAACACAGCACCAGACCTCTTTAATTTGTTAAAAAATCTGAGATTTAGAAGTGACTCTACTAAAGAAATAGTCCTCCTGAGTATTCCACAGAACATTTAATGAGCTGTCTAACGTTTTGAACTGCCTGAAAATTGGCTCTTGCTTTATACGTCTTTCCCAGTTGGTAAAAAAATGTCCAGATCGACTCTCAACACAGTTCTTGTCTTTTCTCTCTCATTATCTCTGATAGATGAGTTTGGAGCCGCAGGTTTCTCGGGCGCTGGCATCTCCCACGGAGCTTCCTTCAGGGGTGATCCTTCTTCACAGTCCTTTGAAGACCAGGACCAGGGTTTGGGTCCAGGTCCTGCCCCGGGAATTGGCTTCACTCCCAGTCCGGGTCCAGGTCCATCGGGTCCTCCAACCACAAACTACAACAACATCCACATCCCACCAGGGGCCCACGCACCGGCCAACACTCCAGCTGAGCTGCCACCACCGACAGGTAGGATGCAGAGGCCTGCCGTTTGTGTCTGCACAATGCTACCACACATCAACACCCAGAGGAATGAGTTGCAATGTTGGTCAGTCGGCTAAATTGCCTTGAAAGTTAATACAACAATACATGGTGCCTGTATGGTGTATGAGTGACTAAACGAGTGTGGCAGTGCCCTGACTCTTCAATAGGTAAATATGTCAGCATCATTTCCTGTGGCATCTTGCAGGTTGAATCTTTTGGTTCAGGGTAGAACATCTCAACAGCTGTTGGAATCACAGACACTGAATCTCTTATACACATTCGGGTTCCCCAGAGGATGAATAAAAATCACTTTCACTTTCCATCTTCATCATCACCAAGTCAAAACATGAATTTCTCCATCTGTTTGTTAAGTCTGATGCCACGGGGGACGTCATAGCCAGAGTGGCTCCCTGGTGGTACCATCATGGGTAGAGTCCAGACCTCCATTAAAGGGGAATTTACGAGGTCGAGATGATTTAGAAGGTAGCAGTAAGTTAGCGAGTTAGTTCACATCTGAAGATGACATGTTGTCCTGGAAAAGGTATTTCTAAAAAACATAAATAGATAAATAAAAACCGAACTACTGTACCTTTGAATGTAAGATGATAAACTGTACCAGTAAATGTACCAGTCAGCTTCTGGAGGCTCAGTGAAATTAGACTAGTTACTGAATAACTACCACCTCCTAGCAAGCCATCAAAGGATTGTCAGACTAATGTGTATCAGAGCTACGTCTCTGATGTAAACACAGCACTCATGATATCTTTTAGACAAGAGAGAACTTGTTTTTATTACAGGTGCAGGTAGAGGGTCAGTCATTAAGGTGCAGTACCTACAAATGGCCAAATCAGCCATGTCATCACTTGACAGACTTGTTGATTTAGGTCAGTGGTTCTCAAACTTTTTGAGCCAAAACCCCCAAGATAGCATAGGTTTGTGTTTGTGACCCCCCAGCTTGAATTCTCAATATGTCATGAGTGATAAATTTGTTATTCATGCACAGATTAATGTCTTTTGAATGAATGAATGATTTGAATTTATTTCGAACAAATGAAAGGGAAAAAAAATATAAAAACAAAAGAAATAATTTTAAAAGGAGCTTTAAAAAAGAGCAAAAAACAATAATAAAAATCTCATAATCAAATCATAAAATTAACAAATTCAAAGGAGTGGGAAGTAGTAAACATTTTTAATTTTGACAGTCCTAATACACATTTATTTGATAAATGTCGGCTTTATTTATTTATTTGTATTGTTTTTACAATGATCTGGCGACCCCCTGAAATTATCTTGGGACCCCCATGGGCGTCCTGACCCCCAGTTTGAGAACCACTGATTTAGGTGCAGATGAATGTGTGGTGCACTGATGTATGTACCGCAAGGAAGGTGGTAGAAAGACAAGTCAATAGCTGTTCTGGACTCAGATCTTTTCAAACGGCACAGAAAAGAGCCTCAGCCGACGTAGTAAAGTCTCAGACTGGGAAACCGTACTGGACTCTGTGTCACTTCACGTCTTTATAAGTGGATACTTTGGGTACCGCTGTCATTCCCATCAGCCTCAGCTCTACTTTCTGTCTTATTTAAATAGCAAATGTTAACACGTTAAACTAAGATGGATCTCTAGAGTAAATACTGCACTCGTTAAATGTAAGAGCCCAAAGTACCACTGAGAGAGCTGCTCAGAAAGGCTCCACCCTGAACCTTAGGCTGATAGTTTAGTCATGGATGTACTTACAGTGTCCCCGTCAACCAAAATGTGCTCCTCAACACTTTGTAGGAAACAAACGAGTTCTCCGTTTTTGACTGCATCTGAGCTTCAAAAATCAGTGATTCACACCAGTTGTCAGTATTCAGATTAGGCTGTTCAGATGTTACAGATCGGTCTGAGTGGATGGACTTCGGGCGTTTTTCAGTGAAGGGAGCCAAGTAGGTCGGAGTCCAGCTGTGATGCATTTACTGGAATTTATGTGAAGCCTCCCCAGAAAAAACAAAAAACAAAAAAAGAGCGAGATAAGTGATATTAGATAAATATAATAGTGAGGGTGCCAGCCTGCCTGGAACAGTGTTTCCAGCCTCCCATTGTCTTCTGATTATTAAGTGCCCAAACCTAAGTACACAAGCTGCCATTTTTTACATCCAGCCCCTCTTATCATCTGTCTTGTAATCCGTCTTTCTCGTTAATTTCCCTTGATAGCGCTGAGTACGTGACGGCCTCACGATTTACTGGCTCTGCATTCAGTCCTCCCTTTGAGACTCCCCCACACACTCTTCAGCAAATGTGTGTGCACGTATTTACGATGCACTTGTGCAAATGTTTGCCGACGTCCTCCAAGAGAGCATAAAGATGCGTAAAGTGGTCCACAGTGAGGGCCGTAGTGTCTAATCAGACTTTACATCGCTGGAGTTATTTATCGGGAGGTTAACATGAAGATACTGAGGGATTTTTTTTTTTCTTTTTTTAAGTGCGCCTGTGCAACAAGACTGAATTGCTGCAAACTGTGTAAAGACAAAAGGTTACGTAACACCATTTTAACGGTGCTGTTGTGAGTTTGTGTACATGGGTGTGAGGGGGTTTTGTTTTGGTTCCCGTGTTTGGGGACACAGCACAATGCATAATGTGGTGCGTTTGTGCGCTACACACACACATTCGCAAGCAAACCTCAAGTCTTCGGGGTGATTATAGATTACACAAGCTTCTGGACAAAGAGCTGGCACAGAAAGTGCAAACACACTTTCCCACACACACACAATTTGTTGGATATTGTCTCGCTGGCATTTAACCAAATGTGCCTGCTGTAAGGAAGAAGTGATTCAGGAGAATAAGAGACAGAGGTTGACCTTGGTGCTCGTCCAGTCGCCCAAAGTGCTGCTGACAGACGAGGTGTGTGTTCACGCCCTGTGAGTGTTGCTGATAGCGTAAGGCTGTTACTTATCACTCAAGAGCTGCGTGATGCACCGCTGGCTTCAGCGTGTGGGAAAGAGAGACGAGCTGTAGGTTCACATGTGAAGCTGGATTTAAAGTTTCTGTAGCTCCGCTTTCTTGGGAAATAAAGTCACTACTTATTAAATGTAGAAAGATTGGTTGATTGTGGTACTTTGACTCATATCTAATGTGTAAAAAGTCTGATGAAATATAAAGATAAGTGGAAGTTGAACCTTTTTGTGTGGCAGTCTGGCGATTTTTCTGTTCATTTTCCATTATTATAACAAAAAAAAGCTGAAAATCAAACACAGAACCAAATTTACTGAACCTACGTTTTTATATTTTTCAGATTTTTGTCGTTGTTGTTTGTTTTTTAAAATGAGAAATGAGTTGTCACAGTGATATAATATACGAGTTTGTTTTTTGTGTCCACTGGAAGCGATTCAGAAGTGAAGCAGCTTATTTATGATTGATATGTTTACAGATTCTTGGCGGCTTTTAATTAGTGGAAAATCGTAGTATTCCCTTTCCTGCTGCTCAGATTTCAGAGACAGAAACAAACAAACAAAACTAGTTGTGCTGACAATAAGAAATGAATCATTAAATATTAATTTCATGACAGTTTCCAATAAGTATTGGCATTTCTGTACATTCACAAGAGATGCAAGATGTTCAGGAAAAAAATAGATTGAGTGCACAACAACAACAAGTCATTTCAGTTAAACAGTAGTGCAGTGATTGGACACGCCTTTGTTATTAAAGTTTGAACGGGTTTAGGTACAAAAATAACAGGA